GTTAACTGTTTCCTCTATGGTACCACATTTAACACATCCGGTATCACAATTTATACTTCTCTTTCGCAGATTCTCCGTAACCAGTACACAACCTGATAAAATTAGCCACAAAAAATACCGTAGCTTAGGTGGACACTGCACCTTCCAAGCATATGCTTTTAGAGGTTTTATATTCGGGCCAAAAGATTATGAACAGACATCCAAATCCTCTATCCGAGTCGTATGGTAACCAGATTTAACCGTATATTTTACAGATTTAGTGTAATGCCAACCAAGGGTATCCTCTTTGGTTGACGCACCCAAAGGCAAGACACTAATCAGCGCGACATCTTCAGGATCAAAGAGCTCCCTCAAGAGATCCATGTTCCAAAAATTTGACCGGGTGACGACAAAGCTATTAACTTTCAAAGATGGGTTAATAATTGAACCATTACTTTTTGCTGGTCTCGGGAATTGAGCTGGTATCTATGGATCCTCCCAAACTGAGATGGACGCCCCAGAACCGACTCTTTTAATAACCAGAGATCTAACTGACAATATACTTCTCCAACCATAAGAAAGAGAGTATGATTTTATATTATCCAATGGATTGGATTTCCAAAAATACCGTCCTTTAAAACCTTTGCAAAAAGTGAATCAGGAACCGTAATCAAACGCCATAATTGTTTTGTTAGTAACGCCGAGTTAAAATCATCTACATTCCGAAATCCCACACCACCTTCCGATTTACTACTACACAGCTTATTCCAAGCCATCCAGTGCATTTCTTTCGACTCGCCATTAGAACTCCACCAAAACTTAGCAACCGCACTTAGGAGATCAAAGTTCAAACATCATCAAATTGTATTGTTTTCCTAATTTAAATCTATATATACTGTTAAAATATAATAGAAAAATATATCCGTTATATAACCTTCTATTTACAAAGTAGTCTGATCCTTCAATTTTAAAATGTCATTATTTTATATCTAAACAAAATTATATAATGTGAAAGGATTGGTTCTTTTAACACATTAGAACACGTGTAAAACAAAAAAGTTCATGGAGGCAAGTTGAAAAGCACCATAAAGAAGAAAATAAAAAGTAGGTTAAGTGTCTCAGAATTTGTCTCCGAAAGATTTTGAATTTTGATTTTGGTTTTGTTTTACTTATAGCCAAAAAAAAATATGATAACATAAATTGAATAGATATATTCTTATGTTATTATAATAAATTATATATGTTTATTTAAGAAGCCTACATATTTTATTGTTATCTTTTAATTTCTGAAAGTGTATTTTACAATAACCAAAAAAATAGAAAATATAAAACGGCTAAATTTCATATATCATGTAAACTTAGATCAAGTTTTTCTTGTCCCTATGTCTCAACGATTTAGTAATTTATGTCATATTTGACTAATTTAATTTCTATTAACAAAATATCCTTTTGAAAATTAAAATAAATTATTGAGTTTTTTCATACTTAATTAATTAATAATATAATGTTAATCAGGAACTGTGGTACAAATTAATTATTTAAACTATTTTTTATTGAAACATACATAAACCAATAGATATATAGAAAATATAGGTGATTCAATTCAATTTTTTTTTCTTTTAAAGATATAAATATAATCATTACTCATTATCTTTCAAAGTAGTAAAACATTTCTCACATTTTTTATTACAACTTTTTTTTTATCTTCTATGATTCACTCATCGTCTCCCAACATCTATTCTCTTTTTACCTTATATTGGCTTATATATAATATACTCGAATATAAATTAGTCTTCAAGATAGTTTATATCTATTTTCTCCTTCATATCTTTCAATTCTCAATCTTTTTTATATGTTGCATTATCTTTTTATTAAAGTGAACATTAGATCATAAGGTTTCTTTGACCATGTTTTGGTGCATGTAAATTGATTTTAAATATACGAAATGTTGGAGTAATTATTTAAAATGTAGGCAAGTTAAATATCATTAAAAGATAATTTATACAATGTATACTCGGAGTGTGAATCCGCAAATCTCAGCGACAAAAAATTGTGAATCCGCAAATTTCCCGCCAAAAACCTAAACTTGTAACTTTTTTGCTAAAAATGTAAATCCGTGATTTTCCCACCAAATGATGATGAATATTGTTGTTTTTATATTGATTATTAATTAATTTATTATTTTAATGGGTCAACTGTAAACTCATTAGATAATGAGTTGAGTTAGGGGCTAGGTTACCCATTTTGACACCCCTATATACGCATTAATCTGTTTATTAATAACATGATGTTAAATATTTATTTTAAAGTGCAAAAATAAAACAATATAAGACAATATGGCACATATTGCTAAAAACAAATATATTAGAACATCTTATATATGTTAATTTCAACTTTAAAAAGATAGTAAAAATATGTTTTTATATATATAATCTCGTAGTAATTATTGAAACTGCTAAAACTATTAAATATATATTTTCTGCAATTTATACTACATTAATAAATAAAAATTTCATAATAACTTATCTTAAAGAAAGAAGAAATAAAATTTGGCACATGTGTAGACTATGTTTTCATAGTAATTTATTTTATATATGTGTAGCATGTAGGATATCTTTTTAGAAAAATTTATATGAGATTCGGAATTCTAATAAGTGATTATGAAAAACTGAGTAGCTATTTAAATAGCTCACAATTCATAATCATATATAAATATATGAAAATAGAGGGTGTTATTGTGTTAATCTTATTGTGTAAATTAGTATTTAAATGTAACATTAGAAAATGCATAAATTATTAATTATAATTATGGGAGTTACATGCATTGAATGGAGAACATATATCATACAATTTATATTATTTAGGTTACAATTTAGTATTAAAGGGTGGATTAATGTATATGATTAAATGGGTTATATTTGTTGTTTGATTAGGGATAAATAAAGCCAATTTTATTAAATAGCATAAGAATTACAGTTATATTTTAAGGAATTAAATATGATAATATACAATTAGAATTTAATGATAGTTTTGTAAAAATATAATTTTAATACTATTAATATTTATGTTTGAAAAAAAAACATTTATGTTTGAAAAACTATATGCCATGTCGTTCTCTCTTGAACGATCTCCAAACCAATTGTTGGGTTGGGTTGTTCGTGAATAGACTCAAGAATTTGAACCACCCATCTATACAATAATTGTCACACTGTAAAAAAAATAAAACTATATTATTTTTAACTATACTTCATATCCATTGTCAAACTATCTATTTTTGAATTAGACTCTTTTCATTCCCATTTTTTTTTGTGCAATAAATTTTTCATTAATAACTATAAACGAAAGATAGATAATCAAATTTTTGTGCGTTGGAAACAATATAAAAATAAACAAACACAAACTAAACCTGGAAAGAATGACATCTTACCTCGAATATTTTAACTGACTTTAAGATAGTCACCACCTTAACATATGGCTTTCGAAAATATTAAAAAATATCCAGATCTACAAACATAACATAAGAAAGAACTGACAAAAAAAAAAGAATACGCAAAAAGAAGAAAAGAAGATTAGAAACTATTAAGTGAATAGAAAAATGTTACAAAATTTGTGGGGCTTGAAATATGATGGTTAGTATTGAACATGTCGTACTATTTATAAAAAAATTATATTGTCAAAACAATAATAAATTGCTTTTAATATTATATATGTGAATAAAATTAATTGTAGTTTTAGCATCATGAGCTACGTTACATTTGTAGAATTAAATGTGTTATACAGTAATAGCATTTAATTTGTGATAATAAATTGTAGGTATTTGATTGAATATTAACTGTAGTTTTCAATTAGACATAAAATTAAGTATCAGACGTTACAGCTTTGTCATTTTTGGGCTAACTTTTTTTTTGGTGTAATTTAAAGTGAGTTGTGTATTCTTTCTGAGTGATATATCAAAAATAATCTAAGGACACTTAATAATCTTTCTTAGCAGTTACATGTGTATTAATGTCATGGGAGTTTTTTCTGTGTGTTTTTGCCTTTTTGGTCAAATATGATGGGAGTTATGGTTACATTTTAAGGAATTAATATGCCAATAATTGGAATTAATGTTTAAACAAAACACATTTTCTTTCATGCATTTAAATAAACATATATAATTGATTATGTGATTAACATTATTTTATTTGGTATATTTTGAATAATTTCTTGTTTATGAGATTTCAATTCTTGAATTAGTTTTTTTCTTACACATGTTCTTTAAATTTTGAATATCTTATGCAGTATAAACTAATTCTAAAATAGATTAGCTGTTGTAGTAATTATTTTTTAGACCATTGATATAATAGAAATTATTATTAGACGATCCCAAAAGAATAGAATAGAATATATTATTGTGAAATAATTAAATGTTTTATTTATTATTATTATGATGATAAAATATAAACAAATATATATGAAGCCAAAAAAATAATCTAAGGAACAAATATATTAAATTATAGGAAAATATTGTATATGAAGCCAAAAAATATATAAATGATTTACACTAATATGGCATAAAGTTGGTCTTTACATATACACTGTAGATAATAAATTGTATCAAAGAAAAAATTCTAAGATTTTAGTGTAGATAATAAATTGTATGAAAGAACAAATTCTATGATTCCAATATTTTTAATTATTTTTGCATTTAAACTTTTTATATATTTTAATTGGTGTATATAAATATAAATGTAGGGATATTAAAGAAGTGGTATGAAAGAAAATTTTCCCTATTAAATGTCATAATAAAAAAAAAATATGTGCCACATGTTGTAAGAAGAAAGTGACAAATGTCGTGATAATAGAGCTCCTTACAGAAAAACCTTGTCATATTATATAAGATATATATATATATATATATATATATATGACCGCAATTTTAAAAGAAATACAAAAATACTAATAACATAAATTTTAGAAATGAGTCAAAAAATAATAATTTATGGTTTTGATTGTGTACCTAAGTCGTGTTCTAGGGTAAACAGTGGTTAATGTTGTTATTGTTGTTGTTTCTGATTTCTGTGGTTCTAGCATGAATCCCAAAGAACTGAGGTTGTGGTCATCATCATCATCGTGTGGGATCCCAATCTGAAGGAGCGTTTTGGAGTCATCAACGATGGTCTTACCTCGAAGAAGCACTCCAATGTTTAACCCATCCTTAAGAATCCGCGTTACTGCGTCCAATACCGCTAGTTTCAGTGAGCCAACCGTGGCTGATTCGGGAATGTCCACCAATAGCTCCGAGATTTTCAATGATTTGATACCGACCTTAACTGAAAATACGACAAGAGAATGCTATATAAAGAACAATCGTTCATATAGATTTGATCTCAAATAGATGTACATACCGGTACACGGAGCATCATGTGATTCAGATGGATGATTTTGGTAAAACAACTTTCTTTTTTTCAAAGGATACATATTTTGCGATTCCTGGCTACTACACGAACCTCCCTCTTTCAAGTGACACATCTTTCTTTTACCATCTACATAAATTCAAAGAAACACACAAACAAACAAAAATCAATCTTTTATGTAAAAAAGCTTTAGGGTTATAGTAAAGTTAGCGAGTGATGACTTGATCTTACCGATCTTGGAATGTGAATCAAAGTTTTCTTCTTGTGAGATTGGAGAGCTAGACGCGGAAGGACCAAGAGCTAGCCAGTCCTTAGACAATAACACCTGAGAAGGTTTCTCCAGACCAGGTTGAGGCTTAACCTCAAGTACTTCCATTGTCTCCAAGAAGTTATTGATGATGAAATCGTTCTTCGTCTCCTTTGTTTTATGGGACAACGAGCCGATAGCAACTCGGTGCTTGCGCTCGCCTAAGAGCTTTTCAGCTTGGGCTAAAACCTCGAAATCAGATCTTTGTTTTTTCATCAGTCTTTGCCTGCGTCCCTGGAGAAAAAAAGAAGACGCGATCGAGTAAGCCAAATGTATTCACTTGTGGAAGAAGAAATCATTTTCAAATGTATATACGCACTCTGGGTGATCTACATGCCCTAGGAACAACAGGAAGTTGGTAGGCATCGACACCACAGTCCACCATGTTCCTTGCAACACACACAACTGCAAAATGCTTAGGTACGTACAAGCCTGATGAGCCTGCGCAATTTATTTTTATCATCTTCAAAAATTAGATCCGAGCACGAAACATTGATGAGGATAAATGGAAAAACAAATATTGGTCACCAATCACATAAAATCCACAAACCTTATGATTGTCTCTGTCGTTTTTCTTAAACGATTCTGATTTTGTGCAAGAAAGAAAAGTGAGATTTATGTTAGAATTTATTTGTGGGAAATAAAATATATAGAACGATAGGAGCCGTACGTAAAACATCCGCCTTTAAAGTTGGGTTTGTGTCTGAACAAAAACCCCATGAAACCACAAAAATTCTTTACAAAAAAAATCCAATGTTTAAAAAAAAAATTGAACTCAATTTTAATAACACCTGTCAACATCTGAATAGTCTGATATTACCAGTAAATTTAAAACGTTTTCTGAATTTTTAATTCTATAAGAGACATGTTTTTTTTTTTTTTGGGCTAAAACTAACCAACAGTTTTTTTTAGCTTTTAGACCTAAAACCCTCCCTCCTCCGAACACTTTGGACCAGTTCTTTCGTTCTCATTACTTCATAACGTCAATCCTCGTTTTAACACGTGAACGACTCTCCATTATTCTTGGATAAATCTCTTCTTATTCACTAATATATATTTTCTTGTTGTGGAGAGGAAAACTGTGTGATTTCTTTTCGATCGGAAACATTTTAGGATGTAACTGGCAATCAGTTAGAGAATAAGAGAAACGTGTTGAATAAGGTGTATAGTAGCCTGATAGGGGATCAAATGAATGAATTTGAGTGGAAAAAATATTGCAGAACAATAAATTAAATTAACAATGTTCGAAGTTGGTGTTGAATGGTGCTTGTTCTTAAGTAAAATTTTGAAATTACTCTTTGTCGCTAACGTAGATCCCAAGTTAGCGACAATGGTCAACGAATTTAAAGTTTCGAAAGTAAGCTAAAGTCTTTTTTGGGGTACATGGACCATAAGGTATATAAGGGATAATTTTTACATTGATAGGTTCTTAATTCACATAGAGAAAAGCATAAAACTTTAATCATTCTTAAGAAAGCTTCAACTTCGTCATTTTCATTAAATATCTATGTTAACTTGATATCATCATATTAACGATCATTTTCAACTATATTGTAACTTAAACGCCTATTAGAACAATTGACAATTAATCTCAAATCAAATTGATAATGATGGGATTTTTTAATAAACAAGCCCGATTCCAAATGCCAAATGGTATGTAGGTACATAAACAATATAGAGAGAATAGGTCATCGATAGAGCATATGACCAAAAGCGTCGATGTCAAGCTCGATGCTTACGTACTAAAGATACAAATAGACGAGTCAGTCAAAAAAATAAAAAAACTGATGGAGCCGTTGAACTACTAATCAGTCAGTCCTATTTCGGATGATAAGCAAATTAAGCAAAAGACTCAGTTCTTTTTTTCTTTTTAGGGCCACTTTTATCTAGAGTAATATACATCTTTTTTTTTAAATAGAAATATATAGTTATATCTTTATGATCACTAGATTTATTTATTTTACTTATTATTTTTTGTTTTGTTTATAAATTAGTTACATACAGTTTTTGAACATTTTTGAGATAGTATTATTGAATAGATCACCACAATTTTTCTTTTTGACTCGGACCACGTTTAGTTGACATTGGTCTGCTTGTTCGACATTTTTTTATCATTCACAAAAATGTAGGTTTTGTGTGGAGTAGTTCATGAAGAAAAGTTCAAATGAAATCCAGTTCAATTTTTGCTTTGTCATTTTTTTTTAACGAAACACCAACCTTCAACATAGGACGATTCAAGTGCATTTTAATTTTGTTTGGAAAATTTTGAATTCTTTTTTACGAGTTCAATTTAACCTAACACAACTCTATTAAGAAATCAAGCAATATTCAAAGTTAAAACTAGTAAATGAAAAATTAGTTTATTAGATTAGATGGTTTTGTACTCCCGTATTTGTTATGTACTTATGTTTGATCCATTTGATCTGCTATTAATATTTTTCTCTATTTTTAATATAAATCTGGATATATAATTTTCTTTTTTGGGTCAGCAACTCACAAACATACACAAAGTAACATTGACTTTTTTTTTGTTTTGTAGGATTAGGAATTTTTGTTACATAAATCTGGGTTTTTTAAAAAAACAAAAAATCTGGGTTTTTTTTTTTTGCGTCAGAAAATTCGGAAACATACACGAAATAACATAACTCTCTTTTTTTATTTGTTCTTTTGGATGATTGTTTTACTGGTAGGATTAGGAGGAACCGTGTGATGCATATTTGGTAAAGACCGTTGACTTATATAACTCTTTCCTTTTTTCTTGTTTTCAGACACAAAACTCCAACGAAAGTTTCCTTTTTGTTGTACAGATAGAACTTGCTCTAAGCTTCCAAAGTCCAAAAACCCGATTAAAAAGCCCCCATAAACAGCTAAACACAACACCTAATTTCTCTCTACACACATACTCAAATTCAATCTCAAATCTCTTGAAGTTTGTTCAAAGCTCGAATTTTTAATTGCTTCAATGGGTGAGAAAGATTCAGAAACAGCTCCGATTTGGGGAAAAACTCGACAGAGAGAGAGCAACAACAACAACAACATACACCCAATGGATTTAGAGTCGTCTTCTCTATCTGGGCAACAGCGATCATTGAATCGGAGTCGAAGTTCTTATGAAGAACGAGGAAGAGGAGTTAAAGAGTTTCGGAGTTGGTTCCCTTGGCTCATTCCATGTTTCGTTGTTGCTAACGTTGTCGTGTTCGTGATCACCATGTATGTCAACAATTGTCCGAAGAAATCTGGAGACTGTTTTGCTGATTTCTTGGGTCGATTCTCGTTTCAGAACACCAGAGAGAATCCTCTTCTGGGTCCTTCCTCTCTCACGTAAGTATTACTTTGTTTCAAATAAAGTTCTGATCTTTACTGAGTTAAGTGAAGCAGAAAAATCCGAACTTTGTTAGAATTTCAAGGAAAAATCCGAAATTTCTTAAGTTTTGGAAGAAGAAGTAGCTGATTGGTTTTAATGTTGGTTAGAGACAGTGTGTGTTTCTCTTCACTTCATTGAATTGTACTGATGTCTAGATTTTGATTGATTTTTGGTTACTTTAACTTGCAACAGGTTACAAACAATGGGTGGATTGGATGTAAAAAAAGTGGTTAAAGGAGATGAAGGTTGGCGTCTACTTTCTTGCAACTGGTTACATGGAGGAGTTGTTCATTTACTGGTGAACATGTTGACTCTTTTATTCATCGGTATACGTATGGAACGTGAATTTGGTTTTAGTAAGTACCTACTCTCTCTCTGCCTCTCTTGATCACTTTGTTATCTTGTGAAGACCCTTTTTTAGTGAAGTGTGTGTATATAAAATTTGTTTTGATTTTTGTTTGCAGTTCGGATTGGATTGCTTTATTTGATATCGGGCTTTGGAGGAAGTATATTGTCAGCTCTGTTCCTCCGCTCAAACATCTCTGTTGGAGCATCCGGTGCGGTGTTTGGTTTACTTGGTGGAATGCTCTCTGAGATCTTTATCAACTGGACGATCTATTCTAATAAGGTAACTAACTATACCTTCAAGACCTGTTTTCTATCTATGATATAAAGATTTGAACTTTAGCATTTATGTTGTTCTGCCAATGCTTTGCCTAGGTTGTGACGATTATAACTCTTGTAATAATTGTGGCGGTGAACTTGGGACTTGGTGTGCTCCCGGGAGTAGATAACTTTGCTCATATTGGAGGGTTTGCTACGGGTTTTCTTCTTGGATTTGTGCTCTTAATCCGTCCCCATTACGGATGGATCAACCAAAGAAACGCTCCTGGAGCTAAACCCCACAGGTTCAAGATGTATCAGGGCATATTATGGACCGTCTCTCTTCTCCTCTTGGTCGCCGGGTAAGTGTTACATTTCTCTGTCACGTCAATAGCTATAAATCAGTCTGTTTGTTTTTCCTATACTCATAAAAGCCTACAGATTGCGTAAATGATGATCTTGTCTCTTTGATTGACACGAAAGAGTTGTGAACTTTGTGACAAAAAAATCACCAAACCTAGTTTTTTTCCTTTGTCAGGTTCATTGTCGGATTGATCTCTCTCTTCAACAACGTCGATGGAAACGAACATTGCTCATGGTGTCATTATCTTTCATGTATTCCAACTTCTAAATGGAGCTGTAACCGAGAACCAGCTTCTTGCACGGTAAAATCCTGAGCTCTTTTTTAGATTCCTCGGTTTCTCCAGTCTCGGGTCGAATCTCTTTCAATGTCTCTAACGTTCTTGTTTTATTTTTGTTTTTATGCAGAGGAGTCAATCAGGTAACCAATTGAGCATGACTTGTTTGAGGAATGGGAAATCAGCATCTTACATTTTGCCTAATCCCTCGGATTCACGGATTAATAGCTTATGTGTTCAGCTTTGCCGTTGATTTACTGATTTTTAGAACATTATATACAAACACACTCTACACTGTATCTATCATATTTTTTTTCTTGCTTATCATGTGTATATTTTATAGAGACAGACCCTTGTTGAATAAATAATACAATGTTATCCTAAGTTACTATATTTTGAGTTTGAGGTCTCTAGTAAATTTGTTCTTTTGGTTGTAAGACCAAACAAATCCTGTGTCTTCTTCTTTTGAAGAAGGAAACAAAAAAATTCAAATCGCCGTCTGTGGGGATCGAACCCACGGCCACGTGGTTAAAAGCCACGCGCTCTACCACTGAGCTAAGACGGCATTGATATTTCTTTCGTCTTATAAATTCTATAATTTAATTCCATACATACATATAGTTCCGTATCTCTCTCGTTTTAATTTGTTATACGAAGGTCAATTTACATTTCATAATGATGTTTTTGTTTTTTTTGGAAAACACTACTGGTAAAATGAAAAAAATATATATGAAAAATCTATAGATATATTTGTTGTAATACCCTCTCAATCAATTTTTTTCAAATTAGATCTGAAAATAGAAATTTGGCATAGAGATCTTCCATTTGGTGAAATATATATAAGAAATTTGGTATGGATGTTTTATATAGCTGCCCAAAAGTAATACGTGACAACTTGTTTTATAAGAGATTATATTCACCAGATAAAAACCCAACATTTATAAACAATAATCAAGCAATCTTGAACACGTACGTTGCTAGAAAAAGTCAATACGACTAAACAAATGATGCGTCTCGCGTTGGAAAAGAAGAAGCAGTGAATAGCAAACAATAATTTGCAAAAACTTTATATGATTATTTCACACGTCAAATCGATATGTACCAGAATTTCAAAAACCACACATGCATGTAGGTAGGGATCATTTGGCTGATCACTATGTCTTGTGATTCTTATTGAGGTGCAAAGACCGTAGCTCAACTGCGTCAAGCTCTCTGATAAAATTGTCGGGTCTATAGTATCCGGTGTGAGGATCAGGCATCCACCATAACTCTTCTCCTCTCATCATTTTACCTTGAATTTGAGAAGTTTTTGCAATGTATGGATCTAACTCTTTCGCAGCGGTCTCAGGTTTAAAGTATCCGGTATCAGGGTCTGATGTCCACGATGGCTTCTCTCGACTACTTCCAATTGTATATCCCCTTTGAGAGGCTTTTGTGATCACAATGTATCTTCTCCTAGAATAATTAATAATTTTAAAAAATTGTCATTTAGTTTACAACGGAATATATTCAAAAGAATTAACCAACATACAATATTTTCTAAAACCATAGGGTATATACAAATGGATAGACTTACATTATGATTGTGTTGTTGATAGATCGAGAGAAACTTTTGAGATTGGAAAGTGATTGAGACATTATTCCTCTCAAATTTTCTATGGAGAAGATTAATTAAGTGTAAGAGGATTTCTGTATAGACGGACGCAGGCGGACGAGTTGATTTGTACGTAGAAGATATATATGTTGGAAGATATGGCTTTATATAGGTTATATAGGGAATTTGTTGATCATAACAATTTTTTGTTGTTGTAAACTTGTAATAATCTAATACTTTGACTTTGTAATGTTGATCAGACTTTTGGAACAAACAAAAAAAACTAAATATTGGCATCTGTTCAAAATAAAACAAAAATAGAATGTAAGAGAAGTAGTAGTCCCTTGCTTAACCAGAAGTCAGATTAAAACATCGAAGAAATTACAACTAGGACAATGACCTGGCTAATCAGGCTTCAATTTAAAAAAGTTTAAGCTTACGTGCTAATTTAAAATATCAAGTTTATAGATTTAATAACGGTGAGCTAATCAAACTTAACATTTTGAATTGGTCTATATATATTATGTGAAGAGGTCCGATAGGATCAAGATTCAATGGTCTCTCTCGGCGGTCAAATTATTTGAAGGGTCAATCGAAAAAACGGCTTTAATGCAACTGGAACAGTTCAGATTCTAAACTTACCATAAAAAATATCTGTGTACCTTTAATGTATATCTCAGCTTGGCATACTTTGTTGTTATTGTATTTTCCCCATGGATGCTGCTACGGAAAAGAAATACTGCACAAGTATTGAAGATGAGTTATATTTCTGGCAAAGAATTACACCAACAGAAAGAAACCCTAACACTTTGAGAAATTTATCAAATCAAAAGTAAAAGAATGTTTGTACCTAGGTTGCAACAATAATAATATACGAGATTTTGGGGGGTGAACGGAGCTAGTCCTTTTATTAACGATATAAGCGATCAAGAGATTACAAAATGCAAGTTTCGCCGCGGCGGTTATAGACTATCCGCCGAGCCGAACACTTAACGTACGAAACAGAAAGACAGAATACGAAAACGAGCGAAGCGGCGAAACTCGGGCTAGGCGACGAAGTCGGGCTAGGCAACGATTTCGGGCTAGGCAACGATTCTTCTTATCTGCTAGTTAATAACCTCTGGATCGGATCCCGTTCCCAATAGTGATTTTGGCTATTTATAGGGAACAGGAACCCTAAATTCCTTCTGTCTCCTCTGTAAATGACGGTTTTGCCCCTCCAGGCTTAGTGGGCTCTTTATAGTGACCAGGGCCCGTTATAAGCTTGTGGACATTTGTTTTGGGCCTCCTAACATATATGGGGCAAGGCCCATGTCCAACAATAAGCCCCCCCCTTAGTCCGTCGTGCAAGAGTGTGCTTGAGCTTGACGGGCATGTCTTCGAGGTTGAAATATGTTAGTTGGGCGCAAAACAAAGTATGACTTGAATAAATCGTCTTGTAGCCTTTGCCTGCTTTTCGAGACAAACGAAAACTTTTCCGGGTGAATAGTGACTTTGGCACGTTTTTCGAGGCGAACCGAAACTTCTCCGGGTGAACAGTAACTTTGGCACGTTTTTCGAGGCGAACCAAAACTACTCCGGGTGAACAGTAACTTTGGCACGTTTTTCGAGGCGAACCGAAACTACTCCGGGTGAACAGTAACTTCGGCACGTTTTTCGAGACGAGCCAACACTTCTCCGGGTGAACAGTAACTTTGGCACGTTTTTCGAGGCGAACCGAAACTTCTCCGGGTGAACAGTAACTTTGGCACGTTTTTCGAGGCGAACCGAAACTACTCCGGGTGAACAGTAACTTTGGCACGTTTTTCGAGGCGAACCGAAACTACTCCGGGTGCACAGTAACTTCGGCACGTTTTTCGAGACGAATTGAAACCTTCTCGGGAGATTTGTGACCTCGGCACGTTTTTCGAGACGAACCGAAACTTCTCCGGGTGAGCAGTGACTTCGGCACGTTTTTCGAGACGAACCGACACCTTCTTGGGAAATTTGTGACTTCGGCACGTTTTTCGAGACGAACCGATACCTTCTCGGGAGATTTGTGACTTCGACACGTTTTTCGAGACGGGCTAGGTTGTGCATCCAGAGAATTAGGTCAATAGTTTTACCTCGGTAAATGTGCAATGTCTCCTCCTTATAAATATGTCTCCCATTTTCTACTTTAACCTTTTCTTCACATCTTCTTCTCCAAAGGTAAAACTCATCTCTCTCTCTCCCTTTTCACTAGTTTGTTTTTTTTTGTTTGGTTTGGTCATGGGTTGCCGAGGGCTCGCCGAGCCGCGGGACGTGCTGCACTGGACGTGCCGCACCGGACGTGCCGCACCGGACGTGCCGCACCGGACGTGCCGCACCGGAGTTCACCGCGCCGAACGAGCTTGCCGCACCTCGGGAGTTCACGTATCTCGCCGTGCCGCACCGGAGTTTGCCGCGTCTTGGGACGCGCCGGAGTTGTTTTGCCGCATCGTGAGAACCTTGCCGATTGTGAGAACCTTGCCGATTTGCGTATCGCCGAGCCGGACCGCGAGTTGCCGTGCCGGACCGCGAGCTGCCGAGCCGCGTTGGAGTTGTCTTGCCGCATTGTGAGAACCTTGCCGATTTGCGTATCGCCGAGCCGGACCGCGAGTTGCCGTGCCGGACCGCGAGCTGCCGAGCCGCGTTGGAGTTCCCGAGCCCACGTATTGAACGGGTGGTTCGCTTAGAACCTTGCCGCGGGTTACTTTGCCGCACCAAGGGTCCACTACCATGCCGAGCCGAGGGTTTGTTGATCCGCCGCGGCAACGCCTTGGTCAAACCACGTCGAGCCGAGAATTGTTGATCCGCGGAGGTTTGGTGCCTCATCGAGACTGAGATGGTGTTGCTTAAACTTTGATGAGTGCTTTCGGTTTGTCTTGTCTCGTCTTCGTGATGTGCTGACGATGAGGCGACATGGTGGTGAAACGACGTTGTTGCGAGGTGGGCCTAATTCACGGCCGGTTCTGTTTAGTTCGTGACGAGTCTCTGATTCATGTCTTGGTTGGTTTTGCAAGGTTCCATTCGATGCCTCGTTTTCCGGAAGACTACGTTCGCGAAGAGTTGGAGGTTGACGAATATCGCCAATTGGAGCAAACGTTGGATGGTTTCGGAGCGGACCAAGATGCATGGATTGGACAAACGGAGGCTGGTGATACTCTTGCCGATTTGAACGAGGAAGATGCGCAATATCTCGATAGCCTGTTAGCTCCGGAGAATGTGGAGGCCGGGCCAAGTTTCAGTCGTCGTGGAAAGATTTTTGAGCACTTGGTTCGTGAGGTGACACCGATCGTGATGGGTTTGAGGGCTCCGAGCACGACTACTAATCCTCGTAAGAATCGTAGTAGGAAAGCCAAAGCAGTGATTGAAGAGAGTTCAGCCGAGACTTGTTTTTCGTACGGTCATGGGAAGTCGGCGAGCACTTTGGATTCGTTGAAGAAAATGTTTACACAATGTCAGCTGCCTGCCAACGTGGAGTTTCTTGCGCCCGAAGCGCACGAACGTCCTTCTGATTGTCCTGATGGATACATATGTGTTTATGAACCCTATTTCACAGAGTGCGGGCTCTGGTTTCCTCTTCCAGAATTTCTCACGAGTTATTGTAGTCGGCGGAATATCGCGTTTTCTCAGCTGTCTGTGGCTAGCATCCGGAACGCGGTCGGCCTCGTAATAATGGCGGCGGAGGAGAACATAGTTGTGAATCTTAACCTTTTCGAAGCGGTTACTACATTTTCGATTGGACAGAAAAATCCGGGCATTGTTTGCGCGAGTTCGAGGCGACGTTTTAAGATTATCTATGATGCTAAGAAGAAGACGAACGATTGGAGGAAACGTTACTTCTTTGTGAAGCTAAACGAAGCGTCGGTTGAAGATATTCATCTGTCGTGTGATAACGTGTGGAAGATGGATCCTGGTAGTTCTTAGTTGGTCCGGGCTCGACAAGGTTTGTTCCTTCGCTGACTATTGACAAATTTCTTTTTGTTGGTATTGCAGGGTTTGTAGAACGGCCAGACGGGTTGACCGACGGCGATCGTTCAAGTCTTGATATTCTACGGGCGAAGAGAGCTTTGTCTTGGCCACACGTTCTTGATCATTTTCGCACTTGTGAGTGTTCTTTAACCATTCTTACGTTCATCTAGGCCTTCGCTATTGCGTTTCTTACGTAGAATTTTTCTTGTAGGTTCTTACTCGTGTTTGAGGATGGGTGATTGTGTTCTTCCGAGTTACGCTGATCAGTTTGATGAAGACGTCGCGCCTTTGAACGGGAATGGTCCGCAGGGGTTGGTTGACGAGACGGGTCAAGGTGTGGTTGTCGAGGCAGTCGTGGCAGAAGACGCGTGTGCCGAGCCAGATGCGTCTCGTCGAGCTAGGTCGGCGGAAATTGATGCCGCTCGTGCTAAGAAGAAAGCCTCGAGAGGGGCGACGGGGAGTGTTCCTCCATCTGCCGGGGGTGGACGTTCGCGGAAGAGGACTTCGCGTCGTAGTCCAGAAGCTGGGCCGTCAAACGTCGGAAGGTCTGCCAGGCGCGAAGAACCAGTTCGGGAAGCCTGTGAAGGAGTTGATCATTCGTTTTCCTTCAACTATGGCGCGAAGAATCACATGTTTCATTACGATGGGGGTGCCTGCGCGGAGTTGGCGAGTAAGATTCGCGGTGATTTCACTGAGTTTCCTCGTGTTGATTCTCTTCTTGGGGCGGACCTCTATCGCGATGCAGCTCGTCGGAATTTTCAGGTTTGTTTCTCCTGCCTTTGTGTCCTTTTAGTATTTTGGTGCGCTTCCGGATTCTGACTTTACCTATCTTACAGTCGATGAGCCAGATGAACCGCTTGGTTGGCTTTTATGAGGAGAAGGTGAGGGCCGCTATGAGGGAGAACGATCTGCTCAAGGCTGCTCTGGAAGCTGCCAAGAGGTCTGTCGCTGCTCGTACGGGGGACTACGAGTCCGAGAAAGCGAAGGTTGGCGGTCTCGATTTGACGATAAGCGAACTTAGGGAGCAACTCAAGGCTGCTAAGGCGAAACTTGCGTCGGAGGTTGCGAGGCTTAGGAAGGCTCGTGACGAGATTGCTGCAGTGGAGCGTCACAAGGCAGAAGTTGAGGCCGCGGATAACCATGCTCGCATAGAGAGGCTGAGAAAACAT